TTTTAAATATTTTGAAACATGACCCCGTTAACAGATTCTATTAACCTTTATCACATGCTCTGAAGACTGACGATAACATTTGCTCCTCTCCGCTGAATCTTTGCTTACCATAATATGGTGGCTGAAAATGACTTTAGGACTTTGGCAGAAAACCAGAGCCATCAAAGCATCAAAACAAACTTGTTTTATGGTGTTATCATTCCTTCTTGGATAGAGTGATTCCGTTAACGACTCCCCAATGGCACTTCATTTCGTGGACATAAGGGGCTGATGAAGAGCTAGGAGAGGGTTCATCACACTCACATACATTTTTTAAAGGATGTAAGAGTTTGTAAATAGTGGAACTGTCAGATGAACAAACATGGTGTAATGATTTGAGTTTGAATCCCTGCTCAGCTATGAAACCCACTGGATGACCCTGGGCAAGTTACACTCTCTCATCCTCAGACGAAAACAATGGCAAACCTCTTCTGAACAAATCTTGCCAAAAAACCCACATAATATGGTAAATGTAATAGATACTATTTGTGATGACAAAAAGAAGAGGAAGAAATGAACCTTGAAAACTAACTGGTTTGGGTTTGTTGGGGGGTTTTTTTGGAGGGGGGGTTGTTTGTTTTTTTGTTTTTGTTTTTTGGGGGTTTTTTGTTGGGTTTTTTTTTTTTTTGCATGAGCATTCAAATGCAGTACAGATAATAAACGCTCACATATAAAGCATGTTTACAGAGTTCTGGGAGTGCTGTGGAATACAATAGATTCCAGAAAGATGCAAATGAAGACTGCTGCCCAAGAGGGCTGTGTAATGGGATACAGATCTTTCAGACCTTCACAGTGGTTGGTTAGTGTTAATATGTGAAAGCAATAAATCTGCTTACCAAAAGTCAAGTTCTCAAATCTCTTTCTGAGAAGATTTGTTTTGCTACAGTAGTGAGGATTTTTGTTTTATATATGTATTATTACTATATATGTTTATTTATATCCCACTTTCTTCTCTTAAACAAGACTCAAAGTAGCTCATAACAGTAATTGTCTTTGTTCATACCACTGGACTGTGATTCACCTAAAATAGGTGACATTGGGTTTTTGTGCATGTCTTGAAATAATTTCTGACTCATGGTGACCCAAAAAGCAAACCTATAATGGCATTTTCTTAGCAAGATTTGTTTGAAAGGTATTTTCCATGGCTTAATTTTGAGGCTGAGAGAGTGTACCTTTCCTATGGTCACCTAGTGGTTTCCACAGTCAAGCAGGGATTTGAATCCTGGTCTCTCACAGTCCTAGAGGGGACTGTGAATATTTGTGGAAAATTGCATTCATAATCTTTTGGAAAAGCACCTTTTGGGGATCATAACTTTTAAAGAAAAGCATGACCTTTCAGAAAAGAGCCAAAAACTCTTTAGAGTACATTCTTTTTTGTGGTATACAACCAGATATAATTATGCAAGGCAATGGCTTCAGCTGTTAGACTGAATAACCTGTTATCTCTGATCTGTTGGAAAAACAGAGGTTTGCCAGTGCAGAAAAACAGCAGAGCTTTAGAAGTGTTTTTTCAGTTGCCCATATATCTATATCTATATCTATATCTATATACACTCTCCCATAAAACAACTTGTTTTATATCATGTACTCAAGAGACAAAAATGAAGTAGACTTTGATAAACATAATGTACTTGGGTTACTCACAACTTTCATGTGTTCAGCATACAGGGGTATAAAACTTATCAGTCTAGTTTCAGATATGTTTGAGATAATTCTCTGTGCCATCTGGCCAGGACATCTCTAACAGCAAAACAGCTGAGGTTTGAAGTTGTCTGCCTGTCTGTCTGCAGTGATCATATGGTCTGCATCCCTTTTTATAAGTTCTCAGGAACCACAGAGTAAAGGAAGTTGCATACCAGAACATACATACAGGAAACAGTAAACAACAGGATCATAAATAAACATTTCTAGAGAAGGCTTGAAGAAGGCTTGAAGAAGGTTGTCATTTCCAACAAATAGACCATTTTGCAGGAGACTCATGCATAAATCTCACCCAAGATAATCCATATGTGATTCAGAAGTTGAAATGTTTCAGTTAGTTAAACTATGATAAAAATACAAGACTTAAGAAACATGGGCAAACTCACATTTCTGATCTCCAAAAACAAGGGCAATTCCAGGAAAGAAACAGATTGGAAAAGAAGTCACAGAATATTTAAAATGAAAAAAGATGAAAATAATAATGTGAAGAAATAAGACATATGTACCAGGACAGAAAAAGAAAAAGAAGAGGGAGAAAGAACTAAGAAAAAGAGAGAAGAAGGAAAAGGTAGAAACCTCAAAGAAGATACCCGGGAGTTAAGAAATACACCTCCTTTTTGTAGTGTCTGTCAATTATTTTTATCTTCCTTTTTTCTTTCCTCACCTTTTTTTCTTTTCTCTTTTTTCTCTTTTTCATGATTTTATTGAAAAAAAAATTAAATAAAGATTATTTTAAAATTTTATTTAAATATTTCAGTATTCTGTCAGCTCTCTTCAGAGTTTGAAATATATACTTTTTTGGGTGCTATGCCTCCAAAGATCTCCCAGCCAGTGGCAGAAAATATCTTGCCTGTCTCCCTGCCATATTAAGAATTTTAATTAGCTGCTGTTTCCAGAGCCAGGTTTCTTAAATGGTGCCTTAGGCAGTCTCCCCCAGGATTTAAAACAAGAACTACAACGAAACCTGTTTTTATGAAATTAGAGAAACACAACAGCAGACAGTTTGTATCTTGGTATTGTCCACTGTTCCCATCATAGCGCAGTAAGTCTGATAAAATTAAGGAAGACCTGGAAAAACTGCTGTTTCCTTAACAAACAACAGCTTTAATTGAAAGCAACTTAGTTTTCAAAGATCTGAGATGAATTTCCCCCCAATACTTTCTTTTTCTTTGCATGATATCACCATGGGACATGATAACACTTGTTACCAAAACTGGTTGGTGCCAAAGGAAAAGAATAGTCATTTTGACACGATCACTCCCACTTCTTTTCTGTCTTGCAAGCTTGCTTCATCATGTGAAATAGGTGGAACCTGGCAGAAGAAAGCAGGGACGTTGGTGCCGGTTTCAAATTGAAGGCTCCTGGGCTATCAGCTGCTAAGAATGTAGGAGAGTCAGCTTTCCATATTTCCTGGGGTTAGAAGCATAAGACTGCCATGAAATTTTCCGGTCCCAATTCAAAGTGCAGGTTATCACCTACAATGCCCTAAATGGTTTGGGACCAGCCTACCTTTGTGAACCTCCATGTACCATCTCGGGCCCTCCGTTCATCTGGGGAGGCTCTTCTTTCACCCCTGCCAGCTTCACAAGCTCGCCTGGTAAGCACAAGGGAGAGAGCTTTCTCCTCTGTGGCCCCCCGACTTTAGAACTCACTACTTGGAGAAATTAGGAAATCCCCTACCCTAGAAACCTTTAAAAAGGATCTTAAAACCTGGCTCTTCCGCTGCGCCTTTAGAGAGTAGGTATACAATCCCACACTACTGCTTAGCCTCAACGTTCTGTCATTGGAGTACATGTCATTCCCCCCTCTGTGGGAAAGCTTGATTCCTCAACCCCCGCTATAATGAGCTCTCCTCCGCAAATAATCTGTCTCTTTTTAATCTCGCCCGAGTTTTAAATTAGTTTTAATCAGTTTCTCTTTTAATCATTACATGCAGCCTGCCCATTGTCATTGTGATTGCGTCTATTGTAACTTTATATTGTTATGTATTTACATGTTCTATTTTATTATGATGTTGCTGTTTACTATTTGCGTATTCGGTTGTGTTTTGGTTTTATTTTTATTGTTCGGGCTTGGCCTCATGTAAGCCGCTCTGAGTCCTCACTGGGGAGATGGTGGCGGAGTATAAATAAAGATGATGATGATGATGATTATTATTATTATTATTAAAGTGAAACATTGCAAATAAAGAAATTGTTTTATTGAGGTTTTTTTACCTGAGAAAACACCTCTTAAGGATTTTGTAGGTCTTCCAGCATGAATCATGATTATAGTCAACGTCCACTAGAAGCTGACTGTAGAATTGCATTGGAAGAAATTCCTAGAGAAGTGTTCTCTCTAGAAGTCTTTAGGTCCTCCACGGCAAGCTGGCTTCAGGAAAGGCAAAAACTGTACATCACAAATGCTGAACCTGACTCAGCAGATAGAAGATGGCTTTGAAAAGCAGCAGAGCACAGGAACTGTCTTCATAGACCTGTCAGCATCTTATGATACTGTAAACCATCACCTCCTCCTGAGAAAAATGTATGATATCACAAAGGATTACCACCTCACCTGCCTCATAGGAAATCTGCTACAAAACAAGAACTTTTTTGTTGAGTTCCAGGGCCAAAAAAGCAGATGGTGAAAACAGAAGAACAGCCTGCCTCAGGAGAGTGTGTTTGCTCCATCAGTGTTCAATAAGAGGAGGAGGAGGAAGGAAAGAGGAGGAAAGGGGTGAAGAGGAGGAAAGAGGAAAGGCGAGGATGAGGAGAAGGAAGAAGGGGAAGAGGAGGAGAAGGGAGGGGGAAAGGAGGATAGAGGAGGAGAAGGAAGAAGCGGAAAGAGAGGGAAAGGGGAGGAGGAAGGAGGAGGAAGAAGAGAATAAAGAGGAAAGGGGTGGAAGAGGAGGAGGAAGGAGGAGGAAGATGAGGGATGAGGAAAGGCAAGGAGGAGAAGAAGGGGAAGAGGAAGAAGAGGAAGGGGGAGGGAAGGGGGGAGGAGGAGGAAAGGGGAGGAAAAGGGAGGAAAGGGAAAATACGTTAAACTATAGACAAAAGGGAAGCAGGAAATCCCCTCTCAAAACTGATTGATGTATCAGTTTTTGTAGCTTAGTTACATCTAATTAGAGCTGTAGTTTGGTCAGAGATATTGTATAGCTATGCAAGAGTTGTCCAAGTATGTAGATGTTAAATGAGGGGAAAGTAGGGAGGAGGAGGAGGAAGGAGAAGAAGGAGTGGGGAGGCGGCGGCGGAGGAGGGGCTGGAAGGCGGGCTTCCAGGGCCAAGCAGCGAGGCGTTTTGAGCCCAACCTCCCTCCTTCTCCGGAGAAGGAAGACAGGAACCGGCTCGGGCAAGAGAGAGGTTAGGAGCCAGGAAACCCCGTGGGCGCCGAACCAAGAAACCTGCCTGTCTCGGCCTCTTCCTCGGGGTTCATCTTCGCGGGTCGGCTGCAGAGGAGGAGGAGGAGGAGGAGGAGGAGGAGGAAGGATCTCCCGCCTGGCCGTCTGTGGGTGGATTGCTAAACTTACGAATGGGTGGATTCACCTCCCTGCTGAGTCCTGCCGCGGATCGGAGCTGAAACCGCCTTCTCTCTTTCCCCAGATTTGGGCAGAGGAGCGAATGGGAGACCCTTTGTTAATGTTTGCACGTAGACTTTCAGGCAAGGCTTGAAAGTACCCACCAGCACCTTGAGGAGATTCCTTATGTTTTGGGGTACTGTCATTTCCATCCCATTCTGACACAGAGTGGCTGAAATCCAAGTGGAACAGAGTCTTTCTCCTGAATCAGGTGTGGAATAGTGATCCAGCACGCCGTTGATTCCGTGGGTTTACTCCAAAATCGTTTCTGAAAGAGGCTTGTAAGACAACAAAACACAACAGGAAGGATATAAATCCCTACCAGATCAAAACAGTAAGTTGAACGAAAGTATTGATTTTGATCTTCCTTTGCTTGGCTCTATTATTATTATTATTATTATTATTATTATTATTATTATTATTATTATTATATTTGGATTTCTGTGAGTTTTCTGGGTTGTATGGCTATGTTCCAGAAACATTCTCTCCTGATGTTTCGCCTGCATCTATGGCAGGCAGTCTCAGAGGCTGTGAGGTCTGTTGGAAACGAGGAACATGGGTCTATATATCTGTGGAAGGTCCAGGGTGGGAGAAAGAACTCTTGTCTGTATGACGCAGAGGTGAATGTTTCTTGATTATCATTGAATGATAATCTTACTGCCTGGAGGAATCCTTTGTTGGGAGGTGATTAGATGCAGGCGAAAAGTCAAGAGAGAATGCTTCTGGAACATAGTACAGTCTAGAAAAGTCACAACAATCCATTGATTCCAGCCATGAAAGCCATTATTTTATTTATTTATACTCTGCTTTATTTCCCCAAAGGGGAACATTTAATGCTCTAGCAGTTTCAAGGTCTGGCTTCTTACTGCCTGGGGAAATCCTTTGTTGGGAGGTGATTAGATGCAGGCAAAACGTCAGGAGGGAATGCTTCTGGAACATGGCCATACAGCTCGGAAAACTCAAAACAACCCAGTGATTATAGCCATGAAAGCCTTCGACAATACATTATTTTATTTATTTATACTCTGCTTTATTTCCCCAAAGGGGAGCATTTAATGCTCTAGTAGTTTCAAGGCCTGGCTTCTTAGTGGCTGGGGGAATCCTTTGCTGGGAGGTGATTAGATGCAGGCAAAATATCAGAAGGGAATGCTTTTGGAACATGGCCATACAGCTCAGAAAACTCACAACTCCTCAGTAATTATAGCCATGAAAGCCTTCGACAATACATTATTTTATTTATACTCTGATTTATTTCCCCCAAAGGGAGCATTTAATGCTCTAGTTTTTCAAGGTCTGGCTTCTTACTGCCTGGGGAAATCCTTTGTTGGGAGCTGATTAGATGCAGGTGAAATCTCAAGAGAGAATGCTTCTGGAACATGGCCATACAGCCCGGAAAACTCACAACAACCCAGTAATTCTGGCCATGAAAGCCTTCGGAAATACATTTTTTAAAATGTATACTCCTCTTTTTCTCCCCAAAGGGGAGCATTTAATGCTCTAGCAGTTTCAAGGCCTGGCTTTTTAGTGGCTGGGGGAATCCTTTGTTGGGAGGTGATTAGATGCAGGCAAAACCTCAGGAGATAATGCTTCTGGAACATAGCAGTACAGTCCAGAAAAGTCACAGCAACCCAGTGATTCCAGCCATGAAAGCCTTCAAGAATACATTATTTTATTTATTTATACACTGCTTAATTTCCCCAAAGGGGAGCATTTCATGCTCTAGCATTTTCAAGGTCTGGCTTCTTACTGCCTGGGGAAATCCTTTGTTGGGAGCTGATTAGATGCAGGTGAAACCTCAGGAGAGAATGCTTCTGGAACATGGCCATACAGCCCGGAAAACTCACAACAACCCAGTGATTCTGGCCATGAAAGCCTTCGGCAATACATTATTTTATTTATTTATACTGCACTTTATCTCCCCAAAGGGGACTCAAAGCAGTTTGACATAAAAGCATTAGTATACAATTTAAAATATACATATATGCAACCATTCAAACAGAAATAAATACAAACAGCACTAAAAAAAGTCATAGTTCAAATCCATCTAAACATATTCAAAACCACAACACCCATTGACTAGATCTTAAACACCTCCATCTTGAAAAGCCTGTCTGAATAGAAAGAGATGCTGTGGAACTGACCTGACTTCATGGCTAGTTATGTAGGAAGGGAGAAGAAAGCAAAGAAAGATTTTCAGCACCTTGGAGAGCCATTGCCTGACCCATTAAAAGTGTTCTGGGTTATGGTCAAATCTTGGGAATGTTGTGCCACATATGATATGATGGCTATGCTGTAGAGCAGGCATGGGCAAACTTTGGCCCTCCGGGTGTTTTGGACTTCAACTCCCACAATTCCTAACAGCCGGTAGGCTGTTAGGAATTGTGGGAGTTGAAGTCCAAAACACCCAGAGGGCCAAAGTTTGCCCATGCCTGCTCTACAGCATAGCCATCATATCATATCATATCATATAATAAAAACATGGGAAAAGTTTATTAAACTATAAAAACTTTGTTTTTGTGAGACATCCTGCAGCATATTTTGCTATGGTTTTGCAATGACTCTCTCATCAAGTCTCAACCAATTCAACACAATTTGTGGCAGCCACAAAAACAAAGTTTCTGGAGTGTAACAACCACTTTCTAACTAACAATTAAACAGGAAATAACACTTTCAAACCAGGAACATAATTTTTTTTAAATGTTGTTACATAGTGTAGTCTAGCAGCTTCTTATAGCCTAGTATAAAAGGCTAACAGAGGGAGGCTTTGGATCTATAATATTTGCTTTCTAAAATATGTATAGGAGTTTGTAACTTGCTTTAAAATGTCTTCTGAAATGTCTTGCCCTAGAACACTGAGTATGGCGAAACAGGTAATCCATCAAATTCAAAAACACAGCCTTCTTGTTTTACCTGAGGCTGACGAAAAGGCTGAGTTTAGGCACTCAAAACCAACCTCACCAGTTTGGTTTCTTTTCCATATAATATATCACAGTAGTGCCAGATCTTTTGGTGTGGCCTTGAGTGTTCAGGTTTTGACTCAGATAATTTTTTCCCATCTTCTTTGCATAGAAAAGAAGAGTCTTTTCTCAGCTCCTCCACATAGTCATTATTTTAAAGCAGAAGTAGATACATATTAAATTTGCCTATAAATCCACTTCCAGGAAACAGCTTTTTCAGATTGGTAGTTCACATGACGATGATACTACTACTACTACTACTACTACTACTACTACTAATAATAATAATAATAATAATAGGAAAAATTTACACGATATGAGGGTTTAAAGATAGAACTGCAAAGATTCTGGCACAAGCCAGTAAAGGTGGTCTCAATTGTGATCTGCACACAGGGTGCAGTGCCTAAAGACCTTGGCCTGCACTTAAAAACAATAAGTGCTGACAAAATTACCATCTGTCAGCTGCAAAATGCCACCCTACTCGGATCAACATGCATTATTTGCCAATACACTACACAGTCCTAGACACTTGGGAAGTGTCCAACATGTGATGAAATACAAAAGTCAGCATAGTGATCTTGCTGTGTACTAATCTTGTTGTGTATTTAATAATAATAATAATAATAATAATAATAATAATAATAATAACAATAATAGCAACAACAACAACAATAATAACTTTATTCTTGTATCCCACCACCATCTCCCCAAAGGGACTCGGGGCGGCTTACACATGGCCCAAAAGTGCCAAAAACAGAACATAACATAAAAACAATTTAAAAATACAGTTGAATAAAACATATATATTCAACTATAAACAACAACTTAAAACTGAATTAAACCAGCGCTCATCAACCAATAACAGTAAGCTACTGTAAACTGTGGCCAGGCTGTAGTGTAAATGATTGGACAGGGAATGGGATAAGTGCAAAGCTGTAACCATGGGATAAAGTGCAAGGTTGCATAACAATTGCATAGATCAGCTAGGGACTAGGCCTTCTCAAAAGATTGCTTGAACAGCCAGGTCTTCAGGTCCTTAAGGAAGGAGGACAGTGTTGGGTCTTGCCTAATCTCCTTGGGGAGGGCGGTCCAAAGCTGGGAGGGCCACCACCAAGGTTGCCTCCCTCGTTCGCACCAACTGCACTTGTGACAGTGGGTGGGACTGAGAGGAGGGCCTTGAGGAGGGACCAGTGCTTATCAGAACACCTGATATGGTGGTTTCTGCAACTGCACCTGCTTTTCTTCCAGGAGTGGTATTTTCTTAGTACATTTAGTTCCAGGTTTATTTGGTTTTTCAAGTATCAATATCTCTTTCATCGTTATATTCATTTCCTGACAGATCTTGGTAAAGCCCAGGGGAGTAGCTGTCTTGGCATTAATATGAAATAGATTATGCTTTTTTAATAACCTCTTGATTAAAAAGAAACTAATACTTGCAGATTGGTGTGTTGTGTAATTAACCAAAGAAGAAGGCAATATTAGTTTTACATCCTGATTCCTAATCCTCCAAACAACTGAGCCTGTATTCCATGCATTGCCTTTAAGTCTAAAAGGACACAATATATCTCATCTGTTTTGTCTTTATGTTCAATTCACAAAGATCTTTTTTAATTTAAAAGCTCATAAGAAATAATATATATAAAATATGTGAAAATAATAATAATAATAACAATCATCATCATCATCATCTTTATTTGTACCCTACCATCATCTCCCCAAAGAGACTCGGGGCAGCTCACAGAAGCACTCCAAGTGCCACATGCAGACATCAATACAGTACATATAATACAATGACATAAGTATAATCAACAGTGCATAAACATCTCATTAATAACATTATAAAAATTATAAAATTCCTAAAACGCAGTGGAACCTGCTGGCTAGCTATCTGTCATAACAATCAATCAAAGTGTGGGCCAGTACTATCAATGATTCATCACATTGGACATGGATTACTCAGGATCAAAGGCCTGTCTGAAGAGCCATGTTTTTAGACTCATCTGGAAAGAGATGGGCTAATCTAATTTCTTTAGGGAGGGTATTCCAGAGCCAGGGAGCCACCACTAAGAAGGCCCTCTCTCTCGTTCCCACTAACTGTGCTTGAGACGGTGGTGGGACTGAAAGAAGGACCTCCCCAGCATATCTTAATACTCACACCAGTTTGTAGAAGGAGATGTGGCCTTGAAGATAGGTTGGATCCAAAGCGTATAGGACAACAGTAAGAGGCACACTTGAAATTGCGAAAGTTACTGGGTTATAATTTTGCCCATTTTTAACCTAGTTTATGGTTGATTTATTTATTATTTATTTATTTGAAACACTTATATTCCGCCCTTCTCACCCCGAAGGGGACTCAGAGCAGAGCACAACATATACATGGCAAACATTCAATGCCTAGGTACAATACATAAACATTAAAAAAACATTTATCTAAATATTAAAATACACCATTTAAAACAACACAATTTAAAACCGTCCTAGCCATCCGCATCAAATCCAATTGACCCTGTCATCTTTCCCATTGTCGTTTCATTGCCCTGTCCTGAAAGCTTGGTCCCACAGCCAAGTTTTTACCATCCTTCTAAAGGACAGGAGGGAGGGGGCCGACCTGATCTCACAAGGAAGGGAGTTCCATAGCCGGGGAGCAATCACCGAGAAGGCCCTGTCTCTTGTCCCCACCAATCGCGCCTGTGACAATGGCAGGACGGAAAGCAGGGCCTCCCCGGAGGATCTTAATCTCCGCAATGGTACATAGAGGGAGATGCGTTTGGACAGATAATTTGGGCCGGGGCCGTTGATGAGACTTTAAGACCAAATTCATCTGCAGGGCCCATGTCCTCCACTCCTGCTTTGGCACAATGAAATTAATGGGAGTCAAACTTGCTTGTGGATTGTGGCCATAATGTGTATGATATCACTTTCCACACACTTAATACATGTTTTGATTCTAATATAATTCAATCAATTTTAATATAAAGTTCAGTAAATTCTAATGAGTTACATTAACAACATGATTGCAGTGTATTGGCCAGCAGCTTGTTCAGCAGTTATGAAATTGTAAACTGGATTTACAATCATATTTGTATTCAAAGGATTCACATTTGAAGTCATGAACAATTTCACATGGCACCAAAAGTCACCTTCTGCAAGTCTGCCACCAACGGGAGTGTTTCTGAGGCTTATACTAGAGTATATACGGTATATGCAGATACCTACGAATTTGAAAGCAAATTTTCAAACATATGAAAAGTTCTAATCAATTCATTTGTTTTACACATGAATTTGCTGTTTGGAATGGTTTTTACCCATTGTAATGGAAATTTGAACAAGTATTTACTTGGCTATTATTCCATCTCTGTTAGTTCTTTAGATAGCAGTATAACAAGTTTCCCCACCCCTGACCCGGAGGGATGGGTTCAGTGAAGCAAGTGCTGACTAATTTTCAGCTCTGATTAATGCTGAGCATCTTCTGAGAACTTGGATGGGACTGCCCAAAAGAAATACATTGTAAGATATTACAAGATCATGCACTGTAACATGCATGACGCTTAATTGAAGAAATACATAAGTGGTTCCTTCAGCATTATTTCTAACATTCCAATTAAAAGCAGTTTTAAATATTACTGCTAAATAATCAGTTAATTTATTATTAATATGTTTCTCTTAATGTTTTGCACCACTCTGCTTTTTGAAAGCATAACATAATTAAAAACACATCCCATATTGAATAATATTAAAATGAGTAGAGCAATAAATTACAATAATCATTTCCAGACTGAAAGCCTTCTGAAATAAATTGATGTGATTGCAAAATGAAAGGAGTGATGAAACCATGCCTCTCCAGGATGACATCCCATGATCTAGGAGCCATAACTAGGAAAGTCCTGTTTTGTAGCCCCATTTGTGAGGGTTGTGCTTCTTGTGTGCCTTCAAGTTATAACCCTAAGGCCAATCTGTCACGGGGTTTTCCTGAGAAGAGTTATTCAGATAGGGTTTGCCTTTGCCTTCCTCTGAGGCTGACAGGGTGTGAATTGCCCAAGGTCACTCAGGACAGAGCAGGGATTTGAATCATAATCTTCAATGCTCAAATTGCTACACTAGTAGATGGACATAAAGCAGGTTTTAATCTCTTATAAAGGAGAAATCCAACACTTTAGACATGACTGTTTCAGTGTGAGATTAATTTATTCATCTATTTCTGCAGAGTTACAGAAGCATGGCCAACTCTTTCCCAGCCCAGGAAGGTTACTTCCCACTGCTACTGACTGCAAATGCATTGGAAGTAAGTGTTATAATCTATATAAATAAAAATGTATTGTTCGTTTGTGGGATTAACATAACTCAAAAACCACCAAACGAATTGACACCAAATTTGGATACAATACATATATCAGGCCAAGGAGTGACCATCACTCAAAAAAACACTGAAAAACACAACAGAAGAGGATTAAAAAGGCAAAAAACAAAAATACATTACAACACATGCGTAAAACCATATATATATATGCAAACACACACATATATATACACACAAAACACATGTATACAGACTGGGCCACAGCAATGCATGGCAGAGGACAGCTTGTAATTTATATAAATAAAAATGTAATGTTCGTTTGTGGGATTAACATAACTCAAAAACCACCAAATGAATTGACACCAAATTTGGACACAATACACCTGTCAAGCCAATGAGTGACCATCACTCATAAAACACTGAAAAACACAGCAGAAGAGACTTTAAAAGCCAAAAAACAAAAAATACATTTGTGTGTTTATAAATTTTTCCTGGTCCATACAAACCTAGCATAATTCATGCAAACACAGGCAAGAATAGGAGACCTGACCTTGAGTTTGTGATAGTTTATTCTTTTGGATTCCTCGGATGGATTTCCTCTTGTGGACCTCAGACTGCCTGGCTTCATTAAAGCTCTCCTTTTGTTTTCTGTTGCCAGCCTTTGGCTTATACTTTAGGAAAAATCTTGCTCTGCTTTACAGAATAAGACTTGTCAGAAACCCAGGCAAAAGCCCTCAGTAATCCGGTTTCAAGCCTTAAAATCATGGAAGAGTTGCAGCAGCAGAATCAGACATTAATGGCTCAAGTGTCACATCTGTCAGCAGCTGTAGCTAATATGCAAACTCAGTTCAGTCAGGTTCAGGCTATTCCTTTCCCTGCTTCTAGAGTCAAGTGTCCAGCTGCTTTACCAGAAAGGTTTGCTGGAGAGGCAGACTCATTCAAAGCTTTTCCAGCTCAGTGCCAACTTTATCTAACACTTGACCAGTTGACTTTGTGACTGGCCAAACCAAGGTGGCTTTTGTCATTAGCTTGTTATCTGAGCCAGCAGCCAAATGAGACCAAATGAGACTTCAGGCATGGGCAAACTTTGGTCCTCCGGGTGTTCTGATCCTACCGGCTGTTAAGAATTGTGGGAGTTAAAGTCCAAAACACCTGGTGGGCCAAGGTTTGCCCATGCCTGGTGTACTTCCCTTCTCCTTCAAGCTAGCCCCCTCCTGAATAACTCTACCCCCTTCTACACAGCTGTATAAAATCCACATTATCTGCTTTGAAATGGATTATATGGTAAACTCAGATAACCCAATTCAAAGTAGATGTGGATTTATCTGCTTTGATAATCTGGATTATATGGCAGTGTAGAAGGGGCCCCTGTGAAGGAAATGAGTACTTGGGGTGATTGTGTTAAGGTAGACTGCAAACAGAAAAATCAGGCAGCTGCAGAAGAGAAAAGGATCTGTGGCAAGCTACACCATGGCCTTCAGATTGCCGATTCAGGATCTGGCGTGGTACAATGCAGCCCTGCAGGACCAAGACGGGGCAGACCTGGCAGATGAAACCTTAAGATGAGCTGAAACTTCCATCTGCTCTTCCCTCTTGCTGAGTCCTGAAAGCAGGGCTTGACAAGTAGTCTTTAATGTGTCACTGGACTTGTTTTTGCCTGCAACAGAATAGCAAGACTGTCCCACTGGGAACTGGAAATACTGGCGTTACCTTGCACAACTAGCAGTTGTGCTGTCATGAAGCAGCCAGTTATAATCAATGTCCTGCTTCCCTCTAGCTCTACCACTTTTTGGATGGTGAACAACACAAAGCTTTTCTGGATGACATATTTTCTTGACCTGTTCCAGTTTGACTTCATGTCTAGCTGCAAAAACCGGTTTTGAAAGACAGTACATTTAAAACTTAAGAGGAAAAATACTATTTGGGTTGTGTGTTCTCTTTTGGTTGCATTGCAGTTCAGTGGGAACAGGGTGTCCCTTTTGACATTCGGTGGGAACAGCTAAAGCTAGATGTTCTAAATAAGGGTTGTTGTTCCAGAAATGTAAAGAGATAAGAGATGCATTAATATTTTCAATGGATAAGGAAAGGGGCAGGCCTTACTACACAGTATGTGCATAGAGAACATATTTTCATTTTTTTCTTCAATTTCAGGAAGAAGTGGGAAATAACAGCAATATCAGGAGGATGAGTTTGTCAGACTTGGATAACACTGAAGATTCAGCCCAGACTATTAACCATGATGTGAACCTTCATGATGCTACAACTTTGGGATCATATACAATAAATGCAGAGAAAAAGAATTTGGAGATGATGGACGCCTCAGCTTTAAGTTGCAGCTTAGCCAGTTTGAACACAACACGATTTCCTAGTTCGAGTTTATTAGGGATATTTTCATCAGATGTTAATGACTGGACCCTAACAAACCAGGATTTGTTCTTGGGCGTGGATGCAAATGGATTTGATGAAGTAAACCTGACATCTTTAGCCTGGGAGGAAAAAAATGATTCACTGGAAGCTTCCTGCCTTTTGAAAGACTCTGATTCTGAGTCAAACTTTTCCTTAGACTTGACTCACAGCAGTTCATCATTTGATTTTACCTGTGATAGTGATACAGAATCTTTGATACATGATTTAGGAATGGTAGGAGGTTACTCCCTAAAATATAGCCAGTATGGTTGCACAGATTATCAAAGTCATTATGGACAAGGCACAGAATCACTTGTAAATGTGCTTCATGACCACACATACAGCCAGAGCACACATCAGGAGACATCCTCTATGTCAGAGAATGATATATGGCTGGAGAAATTAAGTAAAGGCACAATGAGGAACCTAAGTAAAATAAATAGAAACCCAGGCCATGATGAATACTGTGCAAAAGCCTTGAGGATCCCATTTGCCATAAAGGATATTGTGTCTTTGCCCGTTGATTCCTTTAATAGCATGTTGTCGAAATATTGTCTGACAGATAATCAACTTTCACTCATTCGTGACATAAGACGGCGAGGGAAAAACAAAGTTGCTGCTCAAAACTGCCGCAAGCGTAAACTGGATGTAATTATGAACCTGAAAGATGATGTATGTCACCTTCAAACAGAAAAGGAAAAGCTTAAAAGACAAAAGACGAAGCGCAATAGATCAATTAGCAGTATAAAGCAAAAAATAAATTTTCTTTGTTGGGACATTTTCAATAGACTAAAAGGTGATAAAGGAATACCTGCTAACTAGATCAATATACTCTATCCAGTGTTACCCCGCTACTTTGCAGTTTGCTTATTGCGGACTTGCTGTTTCGCTGGTTTTTCCTCCCCCCCAGAGAGCCGTGGGGGAAGGGGGAGGAGGAAGAGGAGGGGATGGGGAGCCAGGCGCTGGGCCTTACCCTGGGGCTTGTCTCCAGGTTCTTCGGCGGCGGCCTCCTCCTCCTCACTGCCTCTGCTGCTCCTTGCTCGGAGGCCCCTTGGGAGGTCCAAGGGATCTCCAAGGCGGGGAGCAGTGGAGGCAACGAGAATGCCACCACGAAGTAGGGATGCTCTGTCCACTCAGTGGCAGCTGCCCCCTCCTCACCGCCTCTGCAGCCTGAGGCGGTGGTGAGGAGGAAGAGGCTGCTGCCGAGTGGACAGAGCGTCCCGCCTTCGTGGATTTTCACTTATCATGGGTAGTCCTGGAACAGAACACCCATAATAAAGGAGGGAACACTACTGCTATAGCAATGACTGCGCTTACTTGGGGTCATACTGCAAAGTGAACATTTTTCAAAATGACATAAACTAGAAAGCAACAATGATAGAAATCACAGGTGGATTGTTTTAGGTTGGGATGTATTGTTTTTGCTGTTATAGGTTAAACTTTCTACAGGACAATAACCTACCATGCTCTGCTATATTACCAAAGGACACTTTTAAATTTCCAAAGTACGCCATTTACAAATAAGTTTAATCAGCCTGTTACATTTTTCTATGATAGCTATTCTAAATTTTAATGCAGTATAAAATATTTTCAAATATTATACATAGAAATGAATCCTTATGGCTGTGAACACTTGGTGCTAAAACAGTTGAGTTTCTTCTGCAAAATGGCAAGACTTCCTTGGTCTGAATATTTATATTTCTATTGCATAATATATAATCACATATTCTTTCATATCATGCGTTATCTTGTTAAATTCTTAAAGTTTAAACCCTTAAACCCTTATAAATAATCCTCCTCCCTTTATGGTTCGTAACATGCTTTCAAAGCTAGGGGCAAGACAACTGCTTTTGGGATACTCAAGATTTTTGTTCTGCTGCCAGTTTGGGGCAAATGGGTTTCTCGAATTCAAACCTCAAAAACCTACCACACCCACCTAGCATATTATTGCAACTACCTCATGTCTATCTTAAACATGGAGCATCTTAGTATATTGACAGACTGTTTAGTCAAATTCCTAAACTGAAGACTCCTCTGCAGCTGCTCTGTGCCTTTAAGCTGTTTCTGACTTTTGAGAACCTTAGTAGAGGGTTTTCTTGGCAAAATTTATTCAAAAGGATTTTGCCATTGCCTTCCTACAAAGCTGACTGTGCGACTTGCCTGAATCAGCCAACTGAGTTCTGTGGGCAAGTAGAATTTGAACTCTGGTCTTCCAGAATCTTAATCCAACATTTTGTTTGTTTTGTTCTGTTAGAAATGTAATACAATGGTCTGGTTGCCCCTGACACGATAAATAAATAATCCAACATCAGAATGAAAAGGCACTGTGTAGCTATCCCTTTTTATTTTAATGAAAATGTAGACTGCAAAATGATCACCTTGACTCTTCACTAGCATATTTCAGCAAATACAGCATTCCAAGGCTTTTGATTAGGATCCCATTTATATCCAATCCTCAACATTGAGATATTGATATTCACTTACGAAATGTAAAACTAGTTTCACAACCACCCAAAGAACTGAAGAATTTGCATTTGTTGTGTTAGACAGCCTTAGTATGGAGATAATTCTTAAAATAAGCTCAGAATTTGAAGTATATTTCCTGTAAAAAAAATCCCAATACATTTGCTCTGTTCTGTCGTAACTACTTGTGTTTAGTTTGCAATTTATTTATTGCAAAAGCCCATGCAGCTCATTGTAGCCTTAATACACCAAGGTTACCAGATCCTATCTTTTCTTGGATCCAAAGTAGAGTTAGCTACAGTTAGCTTTTGGATGGAAAGCTATGAACAAATACCAGATGTTATAGGCTGTATTTCAGAGGAACTAGAAAAATCTCCAATATTCCATAAGAAAACTCTTATTATTGGGGTGTTTGAAAGCACATGCACACCATTTACAATATAGGTGTTTCAAAATGATGGGCCCAATTTCAATGTGGTATATTTCAAGATGGAAATGTTATAATTACACAGAAAGTTTCAAAAGATTTCAAGAGTCGTCAAATTTTTCTAAGAGCTTTGAGCCAGAAACAAATATTAAAAAAGACACTCCACAAGTTGAAAGTATCTTTCAACCTTATGTTGCCGGGCTGCCATCTTGCAAATGACTGAGATTCAGTGTGCTGGGAGAGGCATCTAGTGGTAATCCTTTGAAACTCATTCATGGCAGTTCATGGTTGCAGATAGCAATTTCAAATTGGGTCTAACTTTTTGAAACACCCTTGTTTTTCAGACACATTTCTAATTCTGGCCTTTTGCGAATTATTCAGCTATTGGCCATGGTTCTGTGCTATTCACATGTCCTGACCAGTATCCAGTAATTTTAGGACCCAAGTTCTTCAAAACGGATAGGAAATATAGGTGCAATGTATAATAAATAGGGAAGCACAAGACATACCCATTTTTAGACTAAAAGAGATGTCATTACTTTCCATTTTTGTTACTCATAAGGCCAAATGCTGACACATGTATCTTCCACTGCTTTAAAAACTTTGGGACATACTATCATATTTGAAAATCTTCTATATGCAATGTAGATCATATACTTCTGGCGGAATCTTTTCAGGTGTAATGATGAGTGCACCCTCAAGACAGGTTTGCTTCTCCAAAATCAGATTCAAACCCTTTAGCTTTGCTCTCAACCGGGTTGGATCCCAAATATGGAAAAATGACATAACCTTCTTATGGGGGGAGGGGGGTAAGTACCCAAGAGTTGGTGACTTTTATTCACTGACATAATGCAATTTTCCAGCTTAGATTTAGACCTACAAATATTATCACTTCCCAACAGTGACTTTTATTTACAGCTAGTTTATTTCCAGAAGAATGCAATGTATGTTGAATGCAGAGGCACATTTGAAAAGTCTTCTAATTTGATGGAGGACATTGGCACAACTGATTCCATAACAAAGGCTCTTCCTGCAATAGTATCTTTTCCTGTGCCATTAGTAGATTACTCATGAGATCTACCAAATGTTGCGTAGGGTACACTGCAGAAGCAAGCCATCCTCATATATTTTCAGGACACTCCATCTCTGTTCATCCATCTCCAATATTCAGTGAGTGATGTTTTTTAAGGTTTTCTTCCCACCCCCCACCCGGCATGCTTTTGATTTGCAGTTTTATTTTGCTGTACAGCTGGAGTGGGAATTCACTATTAGCAGGTATGCTATCATTCAATCAAGTATTTGCATTACTGAAGACTTAGTTCAGAAAACATCTTAGTTCAGAAAACACAAAACATGTCCCATGTCATGGGATAATTGTGGTTTAACCACATGATGTGCCAAAAGGTTATCAGACTAGGAGTATTTTTATATAAAAGTTTTATTATATCGTTTATAAAAAATATGACAAAATTTACTGTCCATGTTAGTCTTGATGTCCTAGCCCAATGAAATTTAAAAACAGTTACAACTGTACTTTTATGTATTTTAAAAAGCATTATACAGCAGGCTGCAGTACTCATTGAACTCCCAGGTTTTTTTTTTAAACAAGTAAAAGCAAGTATTTTGTGATGACAATAGAAATATCTTATTTCTTGAGGTTTCTGTGGTTGACCACTTCTTCATTAGTTACCTGCAGCCTGGCACCTTCCTGCCAAAGAAAAAGAAAGTATCTGAAGATGTTTACCAAGTATGCCTCTTTGTATTATTGGCTGGAAAATTTCAACAAATGAGGCAAATCCGGGTCTTTTCAAATATGCAGATTGTAATAGCCAAGTTTTTTTTAAAGCAGAACAGAAATCTGTGACTGATTTTGCAATTGTATAAAACTAAACACGGTGCCAATCGAAGCAAAATGCTCAGTGTCATGTTTCAGAGATAACCATAAATATGAACATGGAGCATCTGCAAATATAACTATTAATTAAACCAAGTAAATATTTTATCCTTGTTATTAACTTATTGATGTTTTTTTACACAGCTTTAAGAACAATCTGCTACAAATAGGTGAAACAAAATGTATTCCCACATCAGAAGTTCTACATTAACTTTATGTTTAAACCTAAATTGTAGAACACAGTCATTCCCACAAGCAAAAGACTTTGCTGCTCTGAATGCGTACAACTATCTTATTTTACATCCAGAATTCAAGCAGTTAGGCTTTTAAGAAAATGCAAGTCAGAAACATGAAAATGTGTACTGTGTAAGTGAGCTATAACATACCATTTTAACTAACCATTGCAGGGATGGAACCCTTGCAAAGTATTAATGGACCCGTGGCTGGTTCATTTGCTCAGCAGGTCTATTGCTTGTCCGTGATGCATAGAGCTAGATTCCATAGGGGAAAAGATAGGTTAAGCAGCTGAAATTAAAATAAACGAAAATGTAATAGCAAAACAAATGAACAAAAAACAGAATATAACCCCACACCCCCAAAATAAATAAAAATAGAAATCTTAATTTTCCAATATACAATTGTTAACTTGGTTCATTGCTATGTTAAACTAGATAACATAACCACTATACTGAAACAGTACACTGTCATATAGTATTAGTTTCTTGTTTTTTCGAATATTAAGAAAGAAAAAGTAAATAAGATCTTACCTAAAGAAGTTTAACTGAAGCTTAGAACTATTTTGCTCTACACCCTCAGCTCTCGTTGGCATCCTTAAAACTACGGTAGTTAAAGCTTTGCCGAAGTACAGCACAGCTTTTTAAGACTGGCTGAACTTAGTGCCGTTCTCAAGAGTTCTCTTGCACTAGACCTGTGTCCCTGGAAGAGTACCTCGCTGGGGATATTTCCTTCCCTTGCCATTGAAGAAGCAGCATCTAAAAGATCTAAAAAGGTGTTTCTCCTTGCAGAGATATCCCTTAAGTTATCTAGGTATTTTAAACCTGGTGATTTACAGAACACATTATCTGACCAACATTGTACATGTACATCAGTAACTTTG